ATTGATTTCTATTTTTAAATACGTCTATCTTTTTTGGCTGCTAAGTTTGTTTACATTCATCTACATTTATTCTCGACCTCTTGAGTGTATGATGTTTATAGACGTCATTGAATTAATAGTTTTCTTTTATAAATATTATTAAAATTATGCGAAAATTATTTCTTAGTTTTTCAAGGGTTTCAAATTTCGAATAAAAATTTTTTAATTTATTTTTTTTTTAAATTAATATAGTAGGATTTACATTTTTAAACACTTATTTTAAACAACTGAAATAAAAATTTTATATAAAATAAATGATACACTTTCTTTTATATTGTATAGTTTTTTTTTAAATATGTGTGTTAAAATATATTTTAAACATATAAAAAAAGGGAGCATGAAACCACAGCACTGGATATTGTTTGTGAAATTTAATTATTCATTATATTAATAAAAAATCTTTAGACGTTTCGGCCACAATCTGGTCATTTTCAGTAAAATTACAAATATTAGTAAAACGCAGAATTACATATAGTCCTCAGGGAAACAAATTCAGCATTTGTATCTGACATTAAATTCAGCCGTCGTATATAATATAACTATGTATATAACTATGTGTTCTTTCATCTTGTAAAGGTGCATCGTACAATAATGTTGCAGCGCCAATTATCATATTGCAAGTTATGTAGAACAAGAATTTCCAGATTCTAATTTAAAAAATTAACCTATCATTAATATCTTCTAGTCAATTGTATGAGAATTGAATTGTTACCTGTTCTGTTTTACAGAAAAAATGATGAATCTTAAGCACTTCCCTTACGCAGAAATTCGTCGTGACATTGTGTATTATTATTTGTCATATCATATATGTTACCGCTATTTATATATATGTCAAAAGTTTAGATTGTTCTAGAATTATTTATTAAATGTGAGAGAGAGATCTTTCTTTAGAAAAGGCAGATAAACATCGGGTAAACCTTCAGTATCACTTTGCTTATTGATACTGCTTATTTGGCTTTTTATGTATATCATTGCAGAAATTCTTCTTTTCAATAATGATTGTTCTGTATCTAAAATTCTAATATTATCCCAATCCAATTCGTGCATCTCATTCAATTAGTGGCGTGACAAAACAACATCCAGTGCTGTGGTTTCATGCTCCCTTTTTTTATATGTTTGATTTATAAACCATTCGTTAGAAATGATTTATAAATCGTTCGTTAGAATTATGTACAATACGTTTTATTATAAATTTTGCAAAATTTTGTGTTGTATTTAAAACGCTGTTTGAAGATTTATAATTCTAACATTAAATTCGTAATCAGCGGCTTTAATAATATAAAGGTAGAATAAGAGTATAATTCTGAACCTCGAAAACCTTAATATATAATTGTGATTTCTATTTATTTATTTTTATTTATTTATTGTTAATTCTTAATATATAAATTCTTATCTATGTAAATATATGAAAATAATTTATACATTTTAAACTCACTTTTGCATTTTGAGATCCCACACTCAAGGAGTTACGAAACAGTTTGTAAACAATACTGTGTACCTCCGAAAGAGATTCATCTATCACATGATAAAACAAATCCAACTCTACCTTTCGTTGTCTTGGCCACCGGTACGCCGTCACTGTAATCCTTCTTCTTGATAAAACCTCGTGCGTTTCTCACGGCCTCCAATCTTTCCCGCGCATTGACATCACGGCCGACCAAGGCCCAGACGCCAGCTTCGCCAAGTACACAGAACTGGAAGTTAGATCGTCGCGTAGAATCGGGCCGAAGTTCGGCAAGCTTGTACTTGCCGACTGCTCGCTGCACTTGTAGAGCTTGATGGGATTCGGAGGATTGACGCGATGCTGGCGATCGGACGCCACTATCCTTGTCGAGGGATCGAGCACGCTGCTGAAGAGCTCCCTGTCGTTGGCCGGCAGGGTCTGCTCGTAACCATCTTTGCTTACTACCACACGGCCGTTATTATTCTTCTTCCGGGACTCCAAGAGATTGGCAGCGTGGCATTTGTGCAAGGGATCTGACAAAGATCCGAGCCACAGACAGACAACACCCCTATGAACGAAAGAAGAGTATTTTTTAATTGTATTTTTGTACAAAGTAAAAAGTATATATAATACAGATATTAAAGAAATTGCAGGACTTTTATTATTTCATTTGCGAAATTAATAGAAAAAAATATTATAATTACTGAATTAAGGAAAATAGAAAATACGGAAGAAATTATGTTGGAAGCACTGATAAAAATTTATGTTGCGCAAAAGCATAGTTGAGAATTAATTTCACTAAATTGAATTGTTATTATCAATTGTGATTTTTGGTGTTTTATTAATAAATTAATTAGTTTAAAAAATAAATTAATTAAAAAATAAATTAATTAAAATAATACTGTTAAACAAACAAGTATATATTATCTTTGCAGCTAATTTATCTCATATTCGATTCATGATTTATTTCATTATTCTATTCATAAAAGTATTAGAATATTACAATTATAAAAATTAATAGTTTACGAGATATTTAATGTCATGTCAATTATATGTGCAAGAGAAATTACCTATAACATTTCGTAAATTATTGCTTCCTTATATTGCTAACTTGAGACATTCTCTATACATATATACAT